TCTCAGATGTCATTTCTAGATGACTAACCGTCTCAGATGTCATTTCAAGTTGACTAACCGTCTCAGATGTCATTTCAAGAGGACTAACCGTCTCAGATGTCATTTCAAGTTGACTAACCGTCTCAGATGTCATTTCAAGTTGACTAACCGTCTCAGATGTCACTTCAAGTTGACTAACCGTCTCAGATGTCAATTCAAGTTGACTAACCGTCTCAGATGTCATTTCAAGAGAACTAACCGTCTCAGATGTCATTTCTAGATGACTAACCGTCTCAGATGTCATTTCAAGTTGACTAACCGTCTCAGATGTCACTTCAAGTTGACTAACCGTCTCAGATGTCACTTCAAGTTGACTAACCGTCTCAGATGTCATTTCAAGAGAACTAACCGTCTCAGATGTCATTTCTAGATGACTAACCGTCTCAGATGTCATTTCAAGTTGACTAACCGTCTCAGATGTCACTTCAAGTTGACTAACCGTCTCAGATGTCACTTCAAGTTGACTAACCGTCTCAGATGTCATTTCAAGTTGACTAACCGTCTCAGATGTCACTTCAAGTTGACTAACCGTCTCAGATGTCATTTCTAGATGACTAACCGTCTCAGATGTCATTTCAAGTTGACTAACCGTCTCAGATGTCACTTCAAGTTGACTAACCGTCTCAGATGTCATTTCAAGAGAACTAACCGTCTCAGATGTCATTTCTAGATGACTAACCGTCTCAGATGTCATTTCAAGAGAACTAACCGTCTCAGATGTCATTTCTAGATGACTAACCGTCTCAGATGTCATTTCTAGATGACTAACCGTCTCAGATGTCATTTCTAGATGACTAACCGTCTCAGATGTCACTTCAAGAGAACTAACCCTCTCAGATGTCACTTCAAGAGAACTAACCGTCTCAGATGTCATTTCAAGTTGACTAACCGTCTCAGATGTCAATTCAAGAGAACTAACCGTCTCAGATGTCACTTCAAGATGACTAACCGTCTCAGATGTCACTTCAAGAGAACTAACCCTCTCAGATGTCACTTCAAGAGAACTAACCGTCTCAGATGTCACTTCAAGAGAACTAACCGTCTCAGATGTCATTTCAAGTTGACTAACCGTCTCAGATGTCACTTCAAGAGAACTAACCGTCTCAGATGTCATTTCAAGAGAACTAACCGTCTCAGATGTCAATTCAAGAGAACTAACCGTCTCAGATGTCACTTCAAGTTGACTAAACGTCTAAGATGTCACTTCTTGTGGACTAACCATCCGACATGCCACTTCAAGTGAACTACACATCTGTCGTGCCATTTCTAGATGACTAACCGTCTCAGATGTCATTTCTTGTGGACTAACAGTCTCAGATGTCAT